GCATCTTTGACCGATATTCCAGTTATAGCAGGACAGACTGATGCAGGAGGACAGCCCATAGGGATGCAATTCACAGACACTTACCACCTTGGTGACATCCAAGATTGGTGTTGACAAACCTAGAAACATAGGCCGAACTGGGATTCGAACCCCCGGTCATGGATGTCTAGGGAGTGAGTGAGTGAGTTTAGTTTTACGCCACACTCAGCAATATTCCAGCTATATGGCGGTGGTCTGTAAATAATCGAGTCTGGACGAGACAAACCAGTGATCAACAGCATGAGCATCGATCTGCACAATTGGGATCCGATGACATGTGTCAAAGCAGTCAGCGAGCCTAACCACTCGATCCCGTTAGTCGCCTCTTACGACAAGCATGGGTTACTGAAGATCAATATTTTAACCTGGACTTTCACGGGTACAAAGATGTCTAGCAGGCCCTGAGGGATGCAGCTATGCACAGCCTACTCCAGTCACACTTCCTAGTTCATCTCCTGCAGCGTCATGCATCCAGGGCTCTAGACCACTGGATGAGTGAGTGAGTGAGTGAGTGAGTTCAGATTTGAAGTCACATCGGCAATATTTCAGCCATATCGTGACTAAAATATTGCAGCTGTGACTGTAAATCTTAACTCACTCACTCACTCATCCATTGGTCTAGAGCTTGAAATATATTTATAGCGAATCCACTTTAACGGGCTGGACTTGATTAGCCCTGGATCAGAGTGAGTGAGTTTAGTTTTACGCAGCACTCAGCAATATTCCATCTATATGGCAGTGGTCTGAAAATAATCGAGTCTGGACCAGACAATCCAATGATCAACAGCATGAGCATCGATCTATACAATTGGGATACGATGACATGTGTCAACCAAGTCAGCGAGCCTGACCACCCGATCCCGTTAGTCGCCTACAAGCATGGGTTACTGAAGATCAGTTCTAACCCGGACCTTCACGGGTCCTGGATCAGACCAATAATTGGTTGATGAGATTAACAATGAGGCGTCATGCCATTATTATGCAAGTAAAGGTTTACACGCGGGTGGACACTGGAACCTTTACTATCGAGGTGTTGGACACCACTGTACCATATATGGTATCGAACCCGGATCCATTGTATACCATGTATTATACTTGGTCATTTTATCTTACAAAACTTTTACACAATAACAAGGATATACCAGGTATGACTATGGCACTTGAATAACCGGTACATCACTGGGGCACGGTGTAGAGGATGATGGTGAATCAATCTGTAAATGATTTCAGATGGCGGAGTCTGTGCATCATAATGTAAGGGGAATAACTCTTGGTGGCGAGAGCTGTACTGATGCCGGCCTGTACGACCTCTTCTATGAAAATTGCATTACATGTTTTAAATTCTGGATTTAATGTAACTATAGACTACATATAGATGAGATGACATAATCTGGCAAAGAGACACGCGAGCATATCAGTAAATAAATCTCTTACTGCTTGAATAGAACTATTTGTGAAGTATATTGGTTGCAGTGCATTAATTGACCATTCATGGTCATATGACGGGTGTTTAAAAGCTACTTGCGCATTTCACTTTGTGTATATACGTAGTGAGTGAGTTTAGTTTACGCCGTTTTTAGCATTATTGCAGCACGGCTGGGGACACCAGAAATGTGCGTCACACATTGTACCCATGGGTGGAATCTAACCTTCGTCTTCAGCGTGACAAGCGAACGCTTTCACCCCACTGGCCGTATACAGGTAGGCCATACAGCTACTACATCAGCAGCAGCAGAGCACCAAAACTATACACTGCCATGTTGGTACCTACACTGCCCCTGTCGGTGCCTACACTGCCCCTGTCGGTGCCTACACTGCCCCTGTCGGTGCCTACATTACCCTTGTCAGTACCTACAATACATCAATGCCTAAACCGCCTATGTCAGTATCTACAATACATCAATGCCTAAACCGCCTATGTCAGTACCTACAATAAATCAATGCCTAAACCACCTATGTCAGTATCTACAATACATCAATGCCTTAAACCGCCTATGTCAGTACCTACAATACATCAATGCCTTAAACCGCCTATGTCAGTATCTACAATACATCAATGCCTAAACCGCCTATGTCAGTACCTACAATAAATCAATGCCTAAACCGCCTATGTCAGTATCTACAATACATCAATGCCTTAAACCGCCCATGTCAGTACCTACAATACATCAATGCCTTAAACCGCCTATGTCAGTACCTACAATACATCAATGCCTAAACCACCTATGTCAGTACTTACAATACATCAATGCCTAAACCGCCTATGTCAGTATCTACAATGGTAATGCCAATACCTACACCGGTTACGTACTCAAAGGAAAAGGAAATTCATATGCTTATGTCCTTACCTGCGTTTGTGAAGACAACACTTACCTATATCATTTTACACTGTTTATTATAACACCTATACTATCTACGTCAGCGTCTACAATGTCTGTGTCAACAATACACTGCCTATGTTAATACGTATACTGCCTATGTTGATACGTATACTGCCTATGTTGATACGTATACTGCCTATGTTAATACGTATACTGCCTATGTTAATACGTATACTGCCTATGTTGATACGTATACTGCCTATGTTGATACGTATACTGCCTATGTTAATACGTATACTGCCTATATGATACGTATACTGCCTATGTTGATACGTATACTGCCTATGTCAATACGTATACTGCCTATGTTGATACGTATACTGCCTATGTTGATACGTATACTGCCTATGTTGATACGTATACTGCCTATATGTTGATACGTATACTGCCTATGTTGATACGTATACTGCCTATGTTAATACGTATACTGCCTAGGTCAATACGTATACTGCCTATGCTGATTGATACGTATGCTGCCTATGATTGATGCGTATATGTTGATACGTATGCCTATGTTGATACGTATACTGCCTATGTTAATACGTATACTGCCTAATGTTGATACGTATGCGCTACCTATGTTAATGCCGCCTATGTTGATACGCTGCCTATGTTAATGCGTGTATACTGCCTATGTTGATACGTATACTGCCTATGTTGATACGCATATACTGCCTATGTTAATACGTATACTGCCCTATGTTGATATGCCGCCTATGTTGATACGTATACTGCCTATGTTAATACGTATACTGCCTATGTTAATGATACGTATGCCTATGTTGATACGTATACTGCCTGTTGATACGTATTGATGCATGTTAATACGCATACTGCCTATATGATTGATACTGCCTATACTGATACGCATACCGCCCAGGTCACGTATACTGCCCATCTATGTATAATGCCTATGTATAATGCTATATGTTGATACGTATATGCCTATACTGCCTATGTTGATACGTATACTGCCATATGATGCATACCGCCCATATGATACGTATATGCCTATGTTGATACGTATATACCGCCCATGTCAATACGTGTATACTGCCTATGTTGATAACGTATACTGCCTATGTTGATACGTATACGCTGCCTATGTTGATACGTATGCCTATGCTGATACGTTATACTGCCTATATGTCAATACTATGTTATTATGCCCTGATACGTATACTGATACGTATACCGCTATGTTCAATGCTATGTTGATATACTGCCTATGTTGATACGTATACTGCCTATGTTGATACGTATACTGCCTATGTTAATACGTATGCTGCCTATGTTAATGCGTATACTGCCTATGTTGATACGTATACTCCCTATGTTGATACGTATACTGCCTATGCCAATATGTATACTGCCTATGTTGATACGTATACTGCCTATGTTGATACGTATACTGCCTATGCCAATACGTATACTGTCTATGTTAATACTTATACTGTCTATGTTGATACGTATACTGCCTATGCCAATACGTATACTGCCTATGTTGACATGTATACTGCCTATGCCAATACGTATACTGCCTATGTCAATACCTACACAGCCAATATAAATACACTCAGTGCTCCTGTAGATCGCGAGACCAGCTTGACCTAGCAGTAACACACACCACCGATTTAGGTGGAGCTAGTGTTGGTGAGAGCCGATTGGTGGTATCAGAGTGTGCGTAAGTATGTCATTTCACGTGTCATTGCATATGTCATTTCACACGTTAGTTCCCGAGGCAATGACTACAGTGGTGTTGCAGTGGCATGTAGCAAACCTGTTACTAGCATAACCTTATTGGATGAGTGATGGATGCAGCACGATAAATTCGAACATTTCCCGGTTTAGTGGGAAATAAATTTCATAACAGACAAAACTATAATAAGTTTAACTTTAATCATAAAGACACGAATACGAATGAAACGTGTTATTTATATATACTAATTGGAAAGCAAGTGAACTAAATCATCTAAAGATCGCCTGCATGCTATGTATTGATCATCTACACCCATTAGAAACCAGGAGAGTCACTTCACAACATGTTCAGGTAATACTGTATGTTTAACATCTCGAAATACAGAACTGTCGATATCACCATTCACTGTCTGTAATGTGATTATTATTGGCAGCTTCTGATTCTACATTCGTTGGGCTGTACATGTTTTATAACGCTAAAGAAGTGATTTGCAGGCCGCTTCGAAAAGTAAAGTACTTATTCAAAAGACCTCGACTGACTGCCTACAGCATTGTAAAGCAGGTCAGGGCCTGGATTTTCGAAGCTCTCTTAGCACTAAGATAGTCGTAAGTACCATGCATTAACATTAACTTACGACTATCTTAGCGCTAAGAGAGCTTCGAAAATCTAGGCCCTGGTGCACAAGGGCAGCTCATGTCTGATGTAGCGGAATATGAGACATTGATATGAATAACTTGTTGTTTCATCGTTAAGGTGCTTAACAGGAATATAACTAAGTTAGCTCTCAAAAGTGTTGTCAAGTTTAAGTGAAAGAAAATATTAAAAATGGACAACACTATGTACAGACGGGTTTTAACATTCACAATACCATGAATGTAAAGATGTGTATTGACAATTCTGTAAGTAGTAACCAGATAATAAAGCGGTCGCAGTGAGACGGTAATCTTTCGCTGGTACTCGGTTGGGATATACACACTTCAATCATATACCTGTTACTTCTGACAATATATCACAATGATACGAGCCACCGAATGAACCATCATTATGGAGGAAAGTTCATGATCACTGCAATCATTGATATAATAACTAACCTATTTGCATATTTGACTTAGTTTGTACCAAAGAACCTGATGACACCTGAATCTGTCAGAGGTTTTTAAATAGCACTTACTTATCTGCTCCAGTCTGTCCAACATATAGAATAATCACAGGTAGTGTAAAAATGTCTAATTGCATTTTTCGTTATTTGTGTTTGATCTAGTAAACCTCGTGAAAGGTTTAACGGAAAAGTACTTGAAGCGACTTTCCTGAAAAGTCGGACCAAGTAGTTCGATTGTTCTAGAATCCGATGACGGAGGCATCAACAGAACAGAGAGCTGTGGACACAGCTGACCAGACCTGAAGCATGCGGAACACGGACCTAACAAAGTAGAACACAGAACTGAGCAAGCACAACACAGAACTGACAGCAACTACAGAACTGATCAAGCAAAACACAAAGCACAACACAGAACTGATCAAGCACAACACAGAACTGAGCAAGCACAACACAGAACTGAGCAAGCACAACACAGAACTGATCAAGCAACTCACAGAACTGATCAAGCAAAACACAGGACTGATCAAGCAACTCACAGAACTGATCAAGCAAAACACAAAACTGATCAAGCAACTCACAGAACCGAGCAAGCAGAACACAGAACTGAACAGACGCAATACAGAAATGGTCAGGCAGAACTCAGCTGAATACGCGACGCTTAGACTTGACCGAACAGAACACGGAACACAGAACAAGCAGAACACGGAAATGACTCAGCAGAACACAAAGGTCACACAACAGAGCAAGCAGAACATAGAAATAAGCAAACAGATGACATAAGAATGAGCAATAGAACAATATTCGCATATTAATGAGTCCGAGCCGCCCGCAAGTTCCAACCCTCCGTGAAGTCCCCACAAGTCCTTCAAGTGCCCGCAGTACATGGAGTCCTACTTCTCCCAGCTAGTCGTGAAGGGAACCAAGTCAGATCACCCTGTGTAGTCCCCGAGTTCCATTCAACAGTTCCAATAATTCATTTAATTCGAGTCATCTTTCAAAGCTAATCCTACGTACAAACCCACGTCCTTAGTGCAAACCGAACACTCCCCTCAAGCATAGCCATCCTGAAGGATTGCGTAGTGTGATGCGAAGTTTAATAGTTACACTTAATATCACTGAAAAACATGCATTGAAAAAGGAGTAACAACTGAACCACCTGGTTTACAGAATGTGGAGACGCACTATCAGTTGCTAAGTTGCTTTCCTATGTCGATTGCACCCTTGATTCTGTTTCGTTCACCTACCAGTACTAGTAAATCATCACATAACATTTCATCTGTTAACAATATATGTGTTCAATCATTTTAATCTTGCTCATGAACCAGCTTAGTGGTTTACGCGCTCACTCGCCACGCCGAAGTCCCGGGTTCGATTCCCCACATGGGTACAATGTGTGAAACCATTTCTGGTGTTCCCCGCCTTGATATTGCTGGAATATTGCTAAAAGTGCCATACAGTTTACTCACTCACTCATCGCTCATGAAACCATAAAGAAACTACAGTTGATCCAGTTCAGTAATTGTTAAACGTCTCAATACATTCATGCTTGATTTAGTATTTAAACGTTCGAGCTGTTTTTACTAACCCGGGTATGGATGCACTATGGGTAGATGCGGGTGATTGCAGGTTTAGTTGGCGGTTATTTACTTAATTCTTTGGATCATAATTTACATGTTTCGTAACTGTTTTACCTTAGGCCCTGATTGAAATTTTTATTAATATTTTAAAGACACAAGATCAAATAAATTAGACGTAAAAACATATTTAAAATTGTGAACTTCCTGGGCAATTAATCATTATGCAAGGTAAAAATGAATTTGGCGAAAAACATATTTTTTGTTTTAGTCAAGTACTTAATCATGACTAACATCAAGAAAGTTAATTTGACATTGAGTCAATATCTGTGATGTCACCAAATATTGAATCAAAGATTTCAGTAAATGTCACGTTTCTCGCTGGAAACAATAATTAGTCTTCGGCAACTCATTCTTGTTGTTAGAGGCGCTTAAAGTAACTCAGTGAGGGAGTGAGTTTGGTTTTACGCCGCTTTTTAGCAATATTCCAGCAATATCACGGCGGGGGACGCCAGAAATGGGCTCCACACACTGTACCCATGTGGGGAATCGAATCCGGGTCTTCGGCTACCCCACCGCCCAAAGAAACTCAGAGATAAGGCTGGCTGACTTGTTTGATACACGTCACTGTATCCAGTTGATGATTGCTCACACAAACACAGAATAACATTTAATACCAACCAACATAGTCATGGCCTCTCCTTACACTTGCCACATTTGGTACAGTTTATCTGTATGTATTATTTTATGCAAAGTGTACTCTTAAATAATTAAATATTTGTTGGGACAGGTGTGTAATTGGCTCTCCCTGTTCACTAATCCCATTCCGGTCGGGAAATAAATATTAAATCAAATAAACATGGATTAAAATTAAACTGTTACCCAACATCAACATACTAACTGTGGTGCTATCAAACCTATGGTAGGGTCAACATACGCTAAGATAGGATAACCTGAACAAACATTATAGAGCGGATGGGGAAGCCTGTGGTACCCTGGGGAAGACGATGCGGAGGTGAGATTAGTTGGAAATCTTCAAAACTTCACTTTACCTATGGAACCGAAACTATCAACATTGTACATACATACGATTACCTTGGAATTAAATTCCACAGGCCTAATGGACGATTTGTCCAAGCAATTAAAGTACTTACGGAAAGCGCTACCAAAACAATGTATTGCCTTTTAAAGAAATCCAGGAACGTTTATTTAACTTTAGATTGCCTTTTAGATGCATTTGATGTTATGGTTGTTCCAATTATCTTGTATGGCTCAGAGATATGGGGAAACGAGAACTGAGAAATAATAGAAAGAATTCCAGTTTCAGAAATAGCACCCCGAATTATATCCTTACGGTGAATATGGAAGAGAGCCTTTGAGTATCAAAATCTATAAGCGATTTATTTCACGTTGGCATAACGTAGATCAGATATTTGAAGCCATCCCAGATTATATATAACTGTTAACCACATCTGTGACAATACAAATAAAATCCCAAGGTTACCATTTGTGAAACATATCCTTGAAAACTGCGGACTATCCTACGTGTTTCTAAATCCGTCTTTATGCTCGACGCCCTGGCTTGTCTCAATGGTCGCGATCGAAAACACCTACAGAGCCCAGTTTCTCAAAAATTGGAGTGAGTGAGTGAATATTTATCGTCGCATCGGCAATATTTCAGCCATATCGTGACGACTCCAAAATTGGAAGTCTAATGTTGATTCAAAAATTGAACCTTGATGTGCTGGGGATTTGTGAAAGTTTCCTTCGAAGTGAATGTGCTCTGAAAGTAGAAGGCCATATGGATTGGTAACAACAGACGTAAAGAACATAAAAAATCAAAACGAGGCTCGGGTGGAGTCGGGACCTTTTTTTAAGAACACTATTTTAGAAGAATGTGATGTTCACTAACGTCTTTTATTTGGTTCAGGATCGCCTGAGGTCGCATCCAGGAAAAATGATTTGGGTGAAGGAGAGAGATGAGGAGAACCGCCAACTCAAGGAGAAGCTCCAGGATGTTCACAACATCTCCATGACGTCATTCGCTGGTGACGTCTGTCACGAGGAATCTCTCGCTAAACGGCCTCGTCTCGACACAACGTTCCAGAGAAACGCGCAGTAGCTTGTGCTACTGTCGTTTGATCCAGAACAATATCTTCTCGATTGCCGGATAATAGCTCTATTTTTACAGCAGAAGCAAATCCAATACTAACAGCTCTTAAATATTAATAGACACCCCAAATATAAACAATATATAATATTTTCAGACTCTCTTTCTTACCTTCAGATCAGATCCTATATCCGTGATCTGATACAGAAGAAGTGGGACACCCAGGTAGGTATAAATAAATTACATGAAATAATACCATATATTGGTTAAACTTACTTGCGTTGTCAGTTCAGATTTGAGGTCATTATACGACGATGTCGTATTGGCCATTCAAGGTATACACAAGAATACTTATTGAAAGGTGAGGATCCTCCGTTTTTCATCCCTTGTGATGAAAGAATCACGTTCAAGCATGTCCTGCTTGACTGCATTGATTTTTCCATCACAAGGGATAAATATTTCAGCGTCAAAACTGTAAAGGATCTTATTAATTAATCTTCATTTTATTATCGAATGTTTAAAAGAAATAGAATTGATTGATAAATGTTGATTGATATGTTTTGTATACAGATGCATATTTTATTATTGGTATTTTAAGTTAGTAACTAAGATTGTAAGTATCTGTACCCACGAAGGGGGTTGAAGTATTGTAAAATTATTGTCCTCCTGAGAGGGTGCGTAAGTCTCAAAAGTTTAAAGTCAATTTAGCTCTACCAACTTTCTTAATTGTAGAATATTTGTTGTTTTATAATGGCTAAATATCAGTCGATCGCCAGTGGCTGAAGGGATGCTGTAAATCCAGCTAGGGTCCATGCAGGTAGCAAGAGTACTGTAAGTTCCAATGGTCCCTAGTATGGTGATCTACCTTCAGTTGTTAGCGATCTGTAGCCTGTTTTTATATTATGCATTGTTCAAATTGTGCTATTAGTTTTAACTTCACATGCTAGTCTTAAATTCGAACTGTGACAGTCTAGTTGTTTTACTGTCCATTGACGACAGGTTTTATAATATTACATATTCTTTATAAACGTCAAAATTGTTCTCACTCACTCACTCCAGAGAAACAGTGTGTCCAGGCGGTGAGTAGGCCTTCACAAGATTTGCACACAAGGCTTCCAAAATATTTACTTCTGTGTCGTCTGCCCACGAACTGAAAACCTACTTGAAGAACGGTCACTAGTTTAGTCTATGCTAGATGCTGAATCCGAGGTCACCAATGCTTGTTATCAGGTGTGTGTATCGGTGTGTTTGAGCGTGCGCGCATCTGTGTCGTATAAATGAACATGAAATGTCGTGTTATAATGATAAATGAATGTAACGTGAATCCCTTTCTTTGTCTTTATTCAGTTCACACGCTGGACTGACTGGCTTCCACTTGCACGTCAGGAACCAGTACGGTAATGAGTAGCGGTGACCATACAGGAGTACGGAATGCCAAGCAGGTTATAACTGTAACAATTCATAAACATTTTACTCTTCCAAGATACAGCTTGTCACACTCGGTGAACATAATAATAACACAGGTCTTCAGCAACCCATGCTTGCCACAAAAGGCGACTATGTTTGTGGTAAGATTGTTTCACCATCAGTCCTTCGACCAGAGTACGGTTTTAAAGAGGAAAGCCATGCTGGTCAGTCTACACCTTGCCATACATATAACAGTATCAAAAATGTGTATGCAACAGGTACATAATACGTGCACTATAAAGAATATAGCATCCATACTATCTAGGGACTGAAAGCACAAAGAAAAGAAATTTGTAGGACATGATCATAATGGTATTTAATGTGGCTCATCGTTGTTTCTTGTGTACAAACATACATAGAGTTACTCCATTTTATGAAAACTTGAGATACGTCGTTACTGATTTAATCATATTATGTGATACATTTGTATCAATTTGCGTTCCTAATTATTTGCCGTACGTCACGGCCCCCGGGGCTGCTATGGCACGTTGAGTGTGTCAGCTGCGCCATGGTCATCTCTGACGTATGCCGTGAGTGGGCGACCCTGGGGCTGAGGGAGGAACCGGGTCAACGCGCCTCACTGGAGGATATATAAGGACCTGTCACAGTTGTCATATCGTCTTTGTACCTGTCGACTCTTCCTATAGAATATTCACAGACTTGGTAAGTGTAATAATGCTATTACCTAGATATCTACATGTTTTCGAACTTTAACAGGTTTCAAAATCTTGAAAACAAATTGCACTGGTCTACTTGCAGCTAGCCATTATGTAATTGCGACATTAAGTCAGATCCAGGTTTGTGTGTAATTTACGACGACCCCGCAATCCCTTCTCTGTAACGACCAGGTGAACAAGAATTGACATATCACGCCTGGGCTGCTCCATGTGACATACACTTCTGACAGACAGATACCCAGAATCACTTTCAGGAAGAATCTGGGATTCGAACCAGTATTAACATAGCAACTCCACACAACGAAGTGTCGTGCCATAACCACGATGCAACCCATGTCCTGCAACGTCTTGCTACACTCATCTACAGTTGGTGCTCCATGGAACAATTCATGTATTCCTCTCGATTCCAGACCTCTACACAATGAAGACCATCACCACGATTATCTGTATGGCTCTCGCTGTAACATCTGAACCTATCAACAATTACAACACGATAGGTGGTCAAGCATTCCCATACAATGCTGGTTATGGAGTCGGTGGCATTCATGGCGGGTTATATGGCGGCACACATGGGGTTGGCAAGTACACAGGAGGCTACAGAGGACATATGCCAATGTTTGGACTGCTGGGTGTTTACACTGGAGGTCAGAAGGGACTCCATACAGGCTACAACGGAGGTCTGTTAAGTGGCAAAGTCGGCGGTTTCTACGGTGGCAAAACAAATGTATTGTATGGAGGCGGTCTTGGTGGTCTCCACGTGGGAAATGTTGGTGGTTTTAATGCAGGGAAGGTGACTGGGGGTGTCTACCCTGGAACTGTTGGTGGTCTCAGCGCAGGGAAGGTGATTGGGGGTGTCTACCCTGGAACTGTTGGTGGTCTCAGCGCAGGGAATGTGATTGGGGGTGTCTACCCTGGAACTGTTGGTGGTCTCAGCGCAGGGAAGGTGACTGGGGGTGTCTACCCTGGAACTGTTGGTGGTCTCAGCGCAGGGAAGGTGATTGGGGGTGTCTACCCTGGAACTGTTGGCGGTTATAATGCAGGAAAGGTGACTGGGGGTGTCTACCCTGGAACTGTTGGTGGTCTCAGCGCAGGGAAGGTGATTGGGGGTGTCTACCCTGGAACTGTTGGTGGTCTCAGCGCAGGGAAGGTGATTGGGGGTGTCTACCCTGGAACTGTTGCCGGTTTAAATGCAGGAAAGATGGCTGGTGGTCTCTACCCTGGAACTGTTGCCGGTTTAAATGCTGGAAATATACCTGGAGGTCTCTACGGAGGACATGTAGGTGGTTACAAGGCAGGCAACATCGGAGGAGGGATCTACGCTGGCACCATGGGCGGTCTGCATGCTGGCGGTGTGCATGCTGGCAGCTTGCTGGGAGTTAGGAACGGTGTGTATTTTATTTTGAAATGAAATATTAGATAGTTGATATACCTACACTAATAACTATTTTTTTCTATCTAGAATTTGATCTCTACTGGCGTTTAATTGTAAGTTTTCTAAAAAATTCCAATCGCTATGAATATTAGATAAATTCAGAATTACAATGCAATTAACAAACCTAAACATTTCCAAACATGATATAGTCACCATATAATTATTATGTACTGTACAACACACTATATTGTTCTATATTGTCCTTGCAGGTATCGGCCTCTACTAGGAGAATTTACGAGGAGCCAATTGTCAATATATCCACACTATTTATACATATTTATCCAACAAAGAGTGTACGGTGCGAAATAAATAGCTTTTGTATTTTCTACAATGATTGTTATGTTTATGTGTTTTCTTTGTGTGTTCTAATGACAGCCATGTAGATGCCTTGCCAATACAAATCGCAGTCGGAGTGTGTAAGTGAGCTGTGTGTGAGTGAGTGAGTGAGTGAGTTTGGTTTTACGCCGCATTTAGCAATATTTCAGCAATATCACGGCGGGGAATACCAGACAAATGGGCTTCACACATTGAACCCATGTGAGGAATCGAACCCGGGTCTTCAGAGTGACGAGCGGACGCTTTAACCACTAGGCTACCCTACAGCCCCCGAGCTATGTATGCGATTACGTAACATAACAGTATTCCACATCAGGACAGGTCAGCTTGATGTCACCTTCAGATTGTTGACATCTATTGGCACGGGTATCATAAACCAATGATCAGAACCACCTTTGTTTGCACGCCTTAGAACATATTGTGATAGATAGGTCTGTTCCTTCGGAAGTCAGACTGCTGCAACCTCTTCATGACATGACGAGGTGAGAGGTTGGGGTGGGGGTGAGGGGTGTGTGTGTGGTGTGGTGTGGTGTGGTGTGGTGGTTTAGCCTAGTGGTTAAAGCGTTCGCTCGTCACGTCGAAGTTTGATTTCTCACATCGGTACAATGTGTGAAGCCGATTTCTGGTGTCCTCCGCCGTGATATTGCTGGAATATTGCTAATTGTGGCGTAAAACGAAACTCACTGACTCGTTCATGATAGGACGCACACAGAGTGCAATAAAATCCAAGTAAGGACACGTAAACTGAACAGAGACCAGGGCAGTCAGATCACGTCGTGCAATCATATGAAATGCAAATGTCACGTGGCGGTGTATATCATATATGGTGAGTTTCACTACATGCCATCTAGGTGCCTCTTCACAGCAACGCTTACTTTGTATGTCATTGGACGTAGAGGGAAGGCTACTAGAATAATCATAGTTTAACATAGTTAATCAACACAATTCAAATAGCATAGTGCTAAATCATAATCTTAGTATCAGCAGAAACATACACTGGTATTTACTACAAATTCGAACCTGAGCCGCAAGATACATGTATTCATTTGGGATTTGAATATCAAGCACTATGCCCTGAATTGGGATATCGATACGCATGACATACACATATTTCCAGATGTAACTTTTTTATTGCAAAACATACTTGATAACATAAATACATCCTGCTGTCGTCATTTAAGGAAGCTGAAGTCCATCTTATGTATGTCTGATCAATCAGTCAAAAATATAATTTTATGCTTATTCGTTTGAAACACAAATAGACAAAACCTCTCAACTACATTTCTGAATGTATACAGACATATTTCAAATACTGACAAAAACAGTTTCGGTGCAAGATATATAAAAGAGTGGATAGCTTGATTTCTCAGTAATTACGACAATACATTAGCCTTCAGTTGTTACACAATCACCGTGCATGGGCTCACCTGTAAACACTCAAATGTCGCCTGTGAACCTTACATGATATGTGACAAACCGCTGCTTCGCGCGAGTGCAACCAGAAAGATAGAGCCGTGTCTTTGCGGTTCTCACCCGGTGTTCTCATGCTACAGTCACCCATGTGTAGATCTCTACAAACGCGCAGCGAGTGGAACATTACGTCGCTTTTATCTATATTCCAGCAATAACAGGAACGGTGATTATATAAAGTGGTGTAAATGTTGTTTTTGAAAATACCAACATCATATTCGTTATTTCAATGATTCATTGACTAAACCTGGCTCCAGACAGAGGGACACGCCCTAAAAGAGGGGTGGTGTAAAACTCAGTTTACAATGTCAAGATCGTGTGACCAGACAGGAGACGACTGGAAGCACCCAGCGGGGCTGTTGTTGCAAATATCAGCCAAAGGCAGAGCCAACTGATCTAGGGTTGCCTTTTGGTACTGTGTTAGGCGTCGGTCCATCTCATCCAAGAATGCTTTGTGGGGGTTGAGGCCTTGAGAAACGGCAGGTCATGGCAGTGTTATGCTGTCTTTCAAATTCCGTTACAACAAGTGTTGTAATGCGGGCGGGCACTATATCTTCTGTGGTGTGACGTTACGTCATTTGCCCAAAGGGAAAACGTTAAGGGTGTAACGATCCATTAATGATCGATACTATCGCTTTAATTTGTTTAATAAATAACGGTAACTTGAAAACATGTTCTGTCCTACAGTCCTACCCCCGATGGGGATTAATCTCTATTTGCTGTAAGCGACAGCATTTTGCCGTCATATAAGGGGGATGTAGAGTCACACACACACACACACACACACACACACACACACACACACACACACACACACACACACACACACACACACACACACACGCACACGCACACACACACGCACACGCACACGCACACACACGCACACACGCACGCGCACACGCGCACACCACCAAAATGGCAGCTCAAGCAGACAGCGGGGATTTTGCGAATTTTGAAATCGTAAAACAATACGACAGCTAAATCAGCTGTATAGGGACACTTTGGTTTGTAAAAACAGTTAAAGTGGACAATAAGCGAGTTGCATGTCGGAAGTGTGAGCTGATATTGAAGTATTGTGGAAATACAACCAATTTGACTGATCGTGTGCTTCGGAGGCACGGTCTTGTCTCTTGATGCGCTTGCCCCAACCAAGGGTAGGCCTAAAAGACAAACAACCCTGACAGTGCTAAATGACAACACTACTCTACTTTCGTCAAAACGAGCAAGAGACATTTCGGCAGCCATTCTTGAATTTATTGTGAAAGATTTGCGGCAATTCAGTGTTGTCCAAAATGATGGGTTTAGGAACATGTTGAGAGTTTTGGAACCACGTTACACAATCCCCTCGCGACGGTATATCTCAGATTCTGCCTTGACCATGTTGTATGAGACTGTTAAAACTGAGGTCAGGAATGACGTTTCCTGTGCTGAGAATGTTTCACTCACAACTGATGGATGGACTAGCAGACTCTTAAATCTGCACATGTGGACAGACTCTTGTTTCTAAAGAAGAATTGGAAAGTTGGAAACCAAAATAAAAAAATTAACTATTATCTGCCTTCATCACACTATTTGAGAACACTAGTTAATGTGAAATATTGCCATTTGTCACCTATCTTTGAACTTGAGTCACCAAGTTATCTGCTGACAGGTTTATTTGTGAGATTTCTTGATACTTTCATAGTGACAAAAGATTATTGTCTTCTTTAAATCTGTTGAGTCTGTTGAATGTTCAGTGCATTGGATATATTTCATCTTCATGTTGGTTAAACTAAAACATATCTACCTGTGAACTGTTTAATTGTCAACCTTTACACACAGTAAGTGTTTTCTATTGAAACTGAAAGGTGACCATTTGTCAAAAATGTGACAGTGCCACACAGCCAGTATTTATTCTTTATTTTGTATGTTATTTTACATACATAGTTGTGGGGATCAAAGAGTCTGCAAACCACAGTTTTGTAATAAATAGTATTAAATCCTGTGTGAATGTGTTGGCTTGTTGTCGAATGTTTTAATACTAAGTCATGTTCATGAAGAAGAAGTCATCATGACAGCTTGACCAATACGGACCTGAAAGTTATAAGGAATAAACAACTGAACACATTTTATGGTTTAAGTAATTTGAATTCTGTCTGAACTATCGCAATAGTTATCGTAATAGTAGCTTGCAATAGACTTTCGACATCGCAATAGTAGCTTGCAATAGACTATCGACATCGCAATAGTAGCATGCAATAGTCTATCGATATCGCAATAGTTCCTTAGACCTCAATAGTCACCCCTAGAAAACATAGTCTCGAACACGTTTGACCTGGTAGCGTAGACCAATCCATTTGATTTAACAGTGGTGAGCTGTGTACTCCTATGAGCTGTGATGTCACCCCATATCATATCATTCCACTTCCACACAAGAACCGACGGCTTTGAGTAAGGCAAGTGTTGTTAAAACCTTCTGCGCGACTGTAGACCCCGGCACGAACATCAGAGCTGACCAGATCTTGTACTCTGCTCATACCAAGCTAGGCGCGCGTGGTGGTCTGCTCTCTCAGCCTGTTTCAAACGATTCAACCTTTATTTGTCTCAAGCCAGAGATTGACCGAGCTGGCAATGTGGCAGGTTTGGTAACGATGCGCGTTCATGCACCAGCCGAATATGTTTTGTCCTGTTGACGTGACGTGAGGCGCACACTAACGGTCCTGGCAAGTACTGAGTGTTGACGTGTGATGTTTTGCTTCAGTCATGTTTGCAGAATACCCACGGCGCGTAGATGTTGATTTCACATGCCATCGCATTGGGCAGGCGTTTATATTGTAAAACAATAAAGTGTCTCATAAGTACAGGGCAGCCAAACAATCAATGTATGATGTTCATATTCAAAACAAAGCGTGTGTAAGTAACATGTCCAAACCAAACAAACACCCAAACATCCCAATTGTGCCCTGTGATTTAACATACATGTGCAAATTGTGAATCGCGGTCTTAATCGAGGAGACGCCGTCAAGAAAGTGCATTCAGTATTTAGTTCCAGAATTAGTATACATGCACGTTTTACGAACACGTTCTCCTATAACTGTCACTGAAAACAGGATGGTGAACCATTTAACCTATCGCTTGATTATTTCTTTGACTGGGTTATACTTTTCATGTTTCCGAGAATCATGTTTGTTGAAACCCAAACCCAGAGTCTCTGGCATTTGCATAAAATAAATAGTTTGATATACCAGTCGCTTGATCTGCAGGTAAAAGAAATATAGTTTTTAGGATTGCGCATGTCTTTTACGGGATTTGTACATTTCCCAAGTATGTAAAAAAGTATCATCAAATAACACGCGGAATTTGTGTTCAGCCTTCCAGTATGAGGGGGTGCCAAGCTTCGAGCTGGTGTCCAGAAAATGTGCCGGTTTCAAAGATTAATCGTAATCCTTTATAAATTTACAGTGACAGAAAGACGTTCTTTATATTCAAGGAGACAAATGGAATTAATACAATGTGGAGTCTCAAC